AGCAGGAATTTAATCTCCACTAGCGTCCCAACTGTTTTGGTTCTTGATGGCCAGAAAGCAGTTGGATTATTCCCTGCACTAATTTTAGAAGTCCCTTAAGATGCAAATTTTATCTCCTCCTGCAATTTTTAAATTATTTCTGCACCAAGGAACTGAAGTGAAGTTGGATGCAAAATGCATCTTGCATTTTGATTAGAACTTGTCCATAGGCTGCACACATCTTAGATACTACGTTCTCATGTTTTCATCCTTCTCAGGACTATGAGAGCCAGACTCTCCAGTCCACAAGTGAAAAGGTGGATCAAAGTCAACAACAACAACAAAAAACTCACATGCTACATAATATGCAAGCATCCATCTTGAATAGTCCCACAACAGTTTATTTCAGATGTAAGATTTAACAGTAAGTTCATCCCACTGGTATCTCTTAACAGCAGGATCAAATTTAAGTTCGCTTCTTCATGGGTAACTAGCATTTAAAAACATTAGCAAAATGTAAACCTTTTACATTACCCTTCACATGTATGCACTCTCTCTTTCTGTATATTTAAATTAGCATAAGTGAAAAACAGGCAGTTTAGCACTGATAAATAAATACTAGCTGTTAGTGTGAACCAAGATAATACATGTATCATTTAAAAAAATAATTTATGGAGTTTAGTTTAAAGAAATAAGATTCCTTATTCTCATATTTTGTTTGAAGTCAAGGTCCTTTGCTTTTATTGCAGGTAAGGCCTTGGAAAAGGCTGGAGGAAAAGAGTTCTTAGAAACAGTGAAAGAGCTCCGCAAATCACAGGGACCTTTGGAAGTTGCTGAAGGTATACAGAGTTACATTTAAAAATGTTTGCACAAGGAAATATGTTTTTCTTCTGGTTGATGCTTAGTCTAGCTTCAAAAATCCCCAAAATAAGTAGCCTAGTTTTAAGTCCCATGTAATGAGGCATCCACTACTATCATTAGGAGGTTTTTAGACAACTTTGTCATCTCACTGTCACATTCAGTCATAAATATACGTTGTTTTTCCCCCCGTTAAACATCATAGAAAATATCAATAGAAGATAAACAGGTTAGTCTATAAACGTGCCACCCTGCCCTGCCTTTTGCCTAACTCCATACTAAAAGGATTGGAAATGTTTTCTGTGGGTGATAGCTTTTATTGGACCAACTGCTGGTTGCGTTCAATTTACCTGTGCTTCTCAACTATGTGCTGCTGCAGTTAAAGTGCCCTGTGCACCTGTTGCTCAGCAGATGGGGGAAGGCTGTAACACACTCTCACTCTCTCTCCCTGCATTAGAGTTTCAGCTCTCCCTGGTTTGACCCTGCACAGCATTTCCCAGAAACAGACCAGGAGAAGGTAGAACTGTTCTGGGTGCCCGTTTCCAGGAAGAGCATTGTGGGGTGTGGGTAGACCAGGAAGAGCTGCAGCCCAAGCGAGCTCTCCTACCTGCTTCAGGCTGATTGGAGAACCCCAATACAGGAGGAGCCCGTGTGCTGGAGCCCTGCACATGGTAGCAGTGGCACTTGTATCACAGCACTCCGGAGGCGGGTCTTATAGCACCCAAGTTGAGACCCACTGGCCTCAACATTCCCATTCCTTTATTTGTCACTCTTATGATCTTTGTGCCTGAATTACCCAGCTGTACAATGAAGATACCACTTCTACCTAATCCCCCATGGGTGCAGTAAAGATAAATTCATTAACATTTTTTAAACACCCAGATACAGTTGCAAGTTCACAGTAGAAATGCTATCAAGAAATTAATGTTTGTATTCAGTACAGGGCTGACATGAAACCACACACTGAAGAAGATGAAAAGAAATATTAAATAACTGCCTATTCATCAGATGAGGCAGGTGTCCTGGGGAAAAAAATTCTGTGTGATCATGTAATTAATGAGTGTATCACAAAAGAGCCAGGTTCAGGTTGCAAAGGAATGCTTAATTCTGGCAGGTTTAATGTAATTAGTGCAGTGAGTGGGGTACTCTGGGATGGAACATCCTATGTAAATGTAAAATGAGCTTATGACAAATGAGGCATTGTCTTTTCTTCTTTATGCGTTAGCTGCTCTCACCCAGTCCAGTGGGCTTGCAGCAAAGTTTGTCATCCATTGTCACATCCCTCAGTGGGGTTCAGACAAGTGTGAAGAACAGTTGGAGGAGACAGTAAAGAACTGCTTAACAGCTGCTGAAGACAAGAAGTTGAAGTCAGTGGCTTTCCCCCCTTTTCCCAGTGGCAGGTATGAACACCAAAAAGAGGTTTATGTTATTACAGAAGGACTATTTATTTTAAAAGGCATCTGACAGGAAAGGGGATTATCAGAGGCAAGATCCTGCTCCCATTAGTATAAGTGGCAAAACTCCAGTTGATTTCAACAGTGTAGATTTCAGTGCATTGTGCTTTTTCTAATTAAAACATCGTTAAGTATAACTTTTGCATAAAAGATTATAATCAATTATGTAGAAGGTAATCTAATTTAAAAGATACTCCTGTTTGGTATACCATACATCAAGTCTACCAACTACATTTTGTATTGGTGGCGAGTAATTTCCAGTTACTTAAATCTCACTGCATTAGCTCACACCACCACCTAGTGTCAGTGGCGTTCCTCACTATAAAACTCTATTAGTTCCAGTGAAGTTGTACCAGTAGAGTTCAAGATAAGCAATAATGAACCAAGCAGCCAAGTGGTTTGAGAATTCCGTCACCTCAGCAATTTGAGAGAGCCATGTAAATTTGTTTTTGTTTGCAAAAGTCAGGGGTGGCCAAACCATGGTGCACGTGCCATGGACAACCTCTGTGTTTGGCACATGGCAGATCAAAGAGGAGGGCAGCACAGCGGCAGACAGGGCAAAAGCAAAGAGCAGAACAGCAGATGGGTCAGGGAGAGGGAGCGCAAGGAAGGAAGCAGAACAGCAGACAGAGCAGAGGAATAGGATTGAAGTGGCAAAATGAGAAGAGTGCAGAGCTGATTTGTGGTACACCTGTCAAAAAGGTTGGCCCCCACTGGCATGGGTTATACCAAGAAGCTACATTATATCACATTGCTTAAAATGTTTTCTTTAAGAACAAATCAACATTGACCATGATTCTGCTCTGAAAAGCAAATATGAAAACAAACAGTTGTGGGGCAACAGGTTTGTTTTTCAAGAACTTGTAGATCAAATGTTCTTGGGTTTTACAATGAAAGACGACATTTTTTGGGGTCTGGGGTTTTGTTTTTGTTGGGTTTTTTTTTAGCTGCCAATCCATTAATAAGGTAATGCAAGCTAAATTAAGTCTACACTTACACAGCATTGTTGGCTGCAAATTATGCCTTCTGTTGTATCTGTACAACTTTTTATCTTTTGAGTTTTATACAGCTTTAAAATAGTGGAATGTAATAAACAATGTTGCTGGTTGTGTGCAAGGAATAGATACAATATAATTTTAATGTGTGTTGTTTCATTAGTGTATAGTTCCCTAATTTAAGAGCATTTTAGTCATAGTCAAGTCTGACAGATCAACTATTTTGATTTTTAAAAATAGATTTGAATTATAGCTTTCAGAATAGGAAAGTCTCCCCTATAACCTCCTGTTCCTTCCTAGAATGTTGTTATATACATTTCACTGTTGTTGCTCACATATCCCAATTGTCTTTATGCTTGCTTGATGCTTACTGAAATTTCAGCACCCTGAAGTTGAAGCTGGACTTTTGGGAAGCATTATGACATCAAGGATTTCAGTGCTGGATTATGCAGCAAGCTTCTCAGCACTAATTTCTTCTATGCTACTTTTCTCAACACCAGTATCCATACTGGGCATCAGTGGCATCAGCCTTGATAGATTTTATTTCTGGACCAAGATTCACACCACTCTCCCAGTATCAGGAAAACATATGATATGGGAGGACCACCTGCTGTTAGAGAAACTGACATCTTCATAGCTTTCCATTGTGCTAAACACCTACTCTGTAATAAAGGAGCTCACACTTCCATTGGCATTAAAAACATCCTACTCCCAGGGTTGATTACCTTGCTACCTGCTTTGAAATTTAATATTCCAGCTTGATAGCCCATTCCTTAAAATGTGGAACTCTCATACTCATCTCCTGGAGTACAGTGGTCTAAAGTTGCAGCAGGGGAAGTTTAGGTTAGACATTAAAAAAACAACTTTCACTAGGAGGGTAGTAAAACACTGGAACAGGCTGCCCAGAGAGGTTGTGGATTCTCCATCCTTGGAGATTTTTAAGACCCAGCTAGACAAAGCCTTTTCTGGGATGATCTAGTTGAGGGATAGTCCTGCTTTGACCAGGGGATTGGACTAGGTTACCTCTTAAGGTCCCTTCCAATCCTAATTTTATATGATTCAATGATTCTATGAAATGTAGTAGAGAAATATTGTACTTATTTCCCAAAGGTTCCTTATGTGTTCTGAGTCAGAAAAAGACAATTCTTTTTCCACAAAATTCTCAGAAGGATTATAAGGGTAAGCAAATGGTCCAGTACCCTTCTGCATGGCCTCCTCATTCTTATCTTTACAATATTCCATCATTACTGTATTAGAATCCTTTACTGTGCAAGCGTTAATCACCTGCACAACCCCATTCCAAGGCACAAATCTATGGTGTCACACAAGAAAATACAATTGCGAGCCAACGTAGGAAGTTTCCTTTCTGCAAAAGAAAAGCACCGAAGACTGAGAACTGAAAAGTTATCAGCAGCAGTACTGTCTTCATTCCATCTCCCCTAATAGTATGGGAACTTCTAAAGATCTGCTTAGGCAGATAGCCAAGTCTCTCCCACATTCCACCAGAAAAAAGCTGCAGGAAATTCCATGTAGACTGCTAGATTTTTTTTCCTAAGCCTTGATGCTGAACCTGTGGCAATCCCCATCAATAAGACTACTGGGTCCTGACAGACTTCTTTGATAATCATCTGGAGACAGGGTATTCAATGCCATCTGCTAGGGGTAAAAAAGCTTTATATGAATCCAGTATCTGGCTCATTGGTGGCTGCAGCAACTGATGAACAAAAACCTGGGGCATTAAGTGAAACAGAATCCAAATGTATTATTTGATTAGAAATATTACTCCTCCTCCTACAGTTCAGAATTCCTAATTATCAAGCATTGCTGGCCCCTTAGAATGTTTGAAAGCTTTATAGATTTATTAATAAGTACCTCAAATAAGCAGGGATGAGTTTAAATCTTTAATAACAACAGGATGTTATCTAGAATGTCCATACAGGCAACTGGAGACACTGCTTCATGGGTCAGAGGCAGGGGTATACGTGGCTCTAAAGTTAGGTATTTCAATGGAAACACAAACTACTATTCCTCACTGGTAGTGTTCTTATGTGGAATAATAATTTTGGGGGCCTCACATTAACCTCAACTATAAGCATTATTATAACCTTAACTGTTAACCACATTAACTATAAGCAGAGTTAAAAATGAACAGGTTAACTACCAAAGGCGTTTAAGAACAAGTTAGACAAATCTGACGGAGATGGCCTCCGTATCATGCCTCGGACCAGGGGAATGGACAGAATGACATTTTAAAGCGCCTGACAGTTCTGCATTTCTGTGATTTCTCCCCAGAGTCACTGAACCTGGTAACAGTAGATTGCTCGTCCCTAGAGATGGTCTCAGTAGCTTATTTCATACAGTTATATTGTAAAATGAGCCCTCACCATCTACCCCAGCCCTTTTTAGGGATCCTTCTCAGGACACATTATTACAACAGTAGGTAGCCTTCAAAAGAAAAAGGATCTAGTCTAGTAAAAAAGGAGTAGAAACTTTTCCTTTACTTCCTTCTACTAAAGGACTAGGTGGCAGCAGGGAGAGTGGGAAATGGAAGGCAATTCTAGATTTCAGGGGATTCACTACCTTTATCTGGTGCTTCATATTCAGATTGGTGTCCTTAGCGTCTATAAACAGATATAATTCCATGTCTAGATCTGCAAAGATTGATTTGCAGCTCATAGCCTATAGGATATCTGCTTCTATATATCCAGTGTGCAGGAAGTACTTAAGATTCCAAATGGGACAGACCCACCTTCAGAACAAGGTTTTACCCTTTGATCTGTCCAGACCAGCAGGGATGTTCAGCAAAATCCTAGCAATTGTGATGCTAACCTGAAGAGGAGACAAGGGCATAACCTATCCATGTCTAGACAACCAGCTCACCCAGGAAAATTCACTTCAACAGGAAGAAAATTATATCCATCAGATTCTTCAGCTATTTGTTGCCTTTTTTTCTAAAAGGCAAACAATAAAAAGTTCTTGTGAACACTGATACAATAAATAGAAATCAAAGGATTTGATACAAAAGTCCAAGCCTCTCTGTCCCAATACACATTTGAAAACTTTTCCAACCATATAACTCAACTTCAAACAATACTATAGGCAAGAACTTGTCTAAATGTTCTCAGATATATGGCCTGTAGTATGTCACATTACACCTATACCAAGTACTGGGTTGGCCACAATCTGTGTGTGTAGTAATGAGAAAGCAGCATGCCTCTGTTTTTTTTTTGCTAAAGACCCCAACAAGCTATGCAGCAGAATGTCCCTCCCAACAAAAACTTTACTGACATGTATATCCATTCTGGGAAGAGACAGCTATGTGGACCACTATCAACCCATAAGGCATACAAAGTTTGCAAGGCTTGGATGAGGTTTGTATCGCTGATTCAGGGATTGACTATTCAAAATGATCAACAAGAATCATATTTTATATAAAAACAGATGAGGTACTATCAAATGTAAGTAAAAAGCTACTTACTTACCTTTACAGTAATGAGTTCATGATGTGTTGTCCAGCCAGAGTCTTATGATAGTGGGATTCTGCAGAAAGATGCAAGCAGAAATTAGACCCATGCTGCCATTTATGACCTCAGTATAGGGGCCTGAGGACATTCAAAATACATTTGCTGCCCCACTGGACACTGCTCACCAAGAAGGTGCTTAAGTGCATGGGGCATATGCACACTAAGAGTAGACAGAACTTTGCGAAGAACTCCAGGTAGCACAGAAATAAGTACATTTTGCTTTTTAAATTAAAAAAAAAAAATATGTAGCCTTTGAAACCAGCAAAAGCAACCAACTTTGGATTACACTCCTCAAATTTCAGAATCTATTCCTTTTATGTTCAAAAGATAATTTGTTCAATTTGGGGCTTTTTATTTTTAAAGGAAAATGGTTTGACAGCTAGAAAATGTGTTTCCACTCCCTTTGGATCAGAACAGTTGGGGATGAAGAGGAGGGACTGGGAACATGCCGCTGTTACTTGAATTTTAGAACACCACTACACACACTTCAAAACATGGGCCACTGATAGGATTCAGCGCTGAAGATGAGCACTTAAAAGTTGTATGGTTCTAATAGAAATTAAAAAGAAATTGTAAATGTTTTTCAGCCTTGTTATAGAAACGGCTGTTAGCAACCAAACTAAAATACCAATGTTAATTCACCGACACTATGACAACGTCAGAGTTTTACTTCTTGACTTGCATATTTTAAATTTGCAACCAATCATTCATCGATTAGACATGTCAAAGTAAACCTACATTTTATTGTTTTTAGTGTTGTGTATATAAGGCTTCCCATGCATCCATGGCAGAGACTAACTTCAATTTTCTTTTTTTTCCCCTGCTACATAGAAATTGCTTCCCAAAACAGACTGCAGCCCAGGTGACTCTCAAAGCCATTTCCGCCCATTTTGATGACACCAGCTCTTCCTCCTTGAAGAACATTTACTTTCTGCTCTTTGACAGTGAGAGCATCGGCATCTATGTGCAAGAAATGGCCAAGCTAGACACCAAGTAGCAATGGCAGCCAAATTAAACTTTATTTTTCAACATAAATTTGCGTAGCATTAAAAGCATTAGAGGTTTTATTTTTAAAATGTGCTGAGGAGGGGGAAATGATAGTAGTGTGATGTTTTGTGACTTGATGGAGAGCTTTTGCTATGGATGAGAGGGTTTAGTCCGTGATTACTTCATGCTGTTGGCACCCTCTACCATTTCATATCACCTAGAAGAAATCTTAATTACTTTACCAGCTCTCTTCAGGAATTTGTTTAATGTGTCTCCTTGTTCTTTTAGCTTAGGACTTCTAAAAGTAACCTCATTTTAGATTTGTAGCAATGAATTTTACACACATACCTTGTTTAAAGAAAGCTCTTAATTTTGTATTCCCTTTTCTGTTCTTGAGGGTGGATGGCAAAAATGTTCATTTTTTGTCTACATTCCATAGTGGAGAGAGAATTTCAAAGACAACGCATGATGAGCTTCTATTTTGTTTTAGTCCATAATCTCTGTAATTACTGAGGATATTTCATCTTGGATTTTTTGTTTGTTTTATAAGAAAAAACAAAAAAGAAAAAGTGCCAAGTGTATTTATTATAAACCTTCTACGAATTTAAGACACGTTTCATCCTCCTCCCACACACACACATGCACGCACGTGCGCACACACTCAATAGTATCTCCAGTGGGTGGGAGTATTTGACACACGTATATCAAGCACAAATAAAGCGTGGGTGGTATTGGGCAAAAATGGATGGCTTTTGGAGCCATTTTTCCACTGCTATTCAAATTAAAAAAAAAAAAAAATTAGTACGAACTGAATTCCTTTATCTATTTAACATGTGAATTAAATAGAAAAGTTTCATGAAGAGATACCGTCTGTGCAGATTATCTGAACACTAAACTCCTTTAAAAAAGAATGACATTCATAATAGATGCCCTTTAGTACAATATTAATTCATCACCAATGCCAGTGCAGTTCATGTATTTTTTTAAATGATGCACATTTTAATGCTTTCCAACTATTAATCAGTTGCTGCATTTCCTTGCCCCTTCAGGATTGTCCCTTTTGACTAATAGGGCATAGTTTGTCCCATAGTCTTCCAGCTCTTAGAGATGAAAAGGTCCCGGCTCTTGGCAATAGTCACCAAAAGACGTCCCACGTAGCATCCATTAATCTGGCCTACCCCATCGTTCCTGCCCATCGACAGCAGGAAGCTTAGTGATCCTAGACAGGAGACAAAAAAAGCCATTTAACTGGAAGGAAGAACAGTGATTTCACCAAGACTGAAACTGGTTATAGCAAATCCATTCTCATTCTGTACGTCTGAAGATAAGCATCCAGCACAGATCCAGGGGGGTGCAGCAGTGCGGTTGAAGTCTCCCCTTCTGCTGATGCCCCTGGCTCACCCAGGCACAGGGAACTTGGCATAAGCTGCAGCTTGGATTTGGCAGAGGGCAGCAGGCAGGTTTTCTTCCCATACCTGCTCTCTGCTGTTCCCTGTAGCCCCGGGATGGGCAATTATTTTGGGTGCAGGACCACTTACTGAGTTTTGCCAAGTCATCGAGGGCCGGGTGGTTAGCCCCGACCCCTAACCCTTGCCACCAGAAGTCCTTCCCCTTGTCCCCTGGAAGTACTCCTTTCAGCAAGGCAGTTTGCCATCTTGGAACCAGAAAAATACCAAATTCCTGCAAGCCCGGCCCCGGGGCACCAGTATGGGCCCTGTACTGCTCGCTGTCATTTCCACCCCCATTTGCCACTGCTGTCTTTCTCTTGCCATTTCCTGCTCTCCCCCTCCAGCTGCTCATGGCTCCAGCACCACATCCCAGCTGCTCCTGCAATGCTGGTGATGCAGCCAGGAACTAGGTGGTGCCAGAGCCGCCGGCGGGGTGGGGGGGCAGCGAGCAGGAACACGGAGCGCAGCAACAGCTGGGTGGGAGCACGGGGCCCGTGCGGGCGCGCCAGGGCCAGCGGGGCCCAGAGCGGGGCGGCAGGAGCACGGGGTCTGGGCCAGCAGAGATCTAGAGCCGGGCGGGCTCCTCTCGCTGCTTGAGCAGCGCAGCGCAGCTCCATACAGCCCCTGCTGGCCCGAACCCCGTGTTCCTGGGCAAAAACTGCTCGGCGCGAAGGAAAGTAGCTCGCCCCCTCCAGGCAGCTTTAGCTGCATCCGCCCGGAGCCTGTGCTGCGCTAGGCTGCGGTGGGGCTCCTTCACCGCTGCCTCTGTGCTGCCCAGCACAGCAGCAGTGACTGAAGCAGCTCACAAGCAGCAGTGAAGGAGCCGCACAGCAGCCTAGCGTGGTGCGGGCTACGAGTGGCCACAGCAAAAACTGCCTGGTGGAGGCACGCCAAGCAGCAGGTTCTGCTCGGCTGCGGAGGCTCAGCCCCGGCAAGGAGCCCAGGCTCAGCAGCAGCCTGGGGCAAACTGCTGCTCGGTGCGGGGGGAAAAGCGACCCCTTCCTCTTCCCTTCCCACTGCCGGCGCTCCCCGGCGCCGCTGCTTGCAGCCCACGCAGAGCTCCCTGTGCCTGCTCTGAGGCCAGAGGTGGTGGTGACATGGCAGACACAGGACAGCCCCACATGGCTTCCAGGCAGCTGTACCAGGAAGCGCCGGCCATGGGGAGGGAGAGGGGCTGCTTTTTCCCCTGCACTGAGCAGCAGTTATCCTGTGCCACTGCTGCTCAGCCTGGAGGAGCGAGAGCAGGGTGCGTGGGGCCCGCGTTGTGTGCGCTTGTCCCCACCTGTACTGGGGAGCTGGGGCAGGCGGGACTTGGAGCAAGCGGGTGCACGGGAACCATAGACAGGCAGATGGAAGCATGGGGCCTGCGCTAGTGTCCTGGGGCCACCGCTGGTGGAGCACTGGGTCCCAGCTGGCACAGGCTCTATGCAGCTAGGCCAGCTCCCCCCTCTCCCTGCTGGCACAGCCCAGCCTGGCTCCAAAGACCCCTGCTAGTCCGTGCCCTATGCCCCTGCCACTCCGCTCTGGGCCCCGCCAGCACTGACCTCAGGACACCAGTGCAGCCCCACACTCCCGCAAGCCCGCTCACTTCCACTCCCTGCCACCTCCACCGCCACTTTCCTGCCTGCCCGCCCGCCAGCCGCTCTGCAACACATGGCTCCCAGCTGCATGGTCAGACTGCAGGACTCAGCAGGAGCCAGCCCAGCCCCAAGGACTGGGGCAATTGCTCATGGTCCTCTCCTGCTTCCCCACCCCTACTTACCTGAATTTCCTGCCCCAGTGCAGGAAGGCACAAACAGCCCCACAGTCCCAGGCCAGAAGCCTCTGTTAAGCAGGGGCTTCTGGCTGTGGGAGTGGGGCCAGGAAGGCCTTGCTGTTCAGGGTCCTGCCATGGCTTTCCCTGGGTCCTACTGCCCCTGGCTCCTGTCATCTTTGGTAGGCAGCCTGGGGCAAATAAATATTAATTTTCTAAATTTTTTAGGGGCCCTGCAGGCTGGATAGAATGGCCTGGTGGGCCAATGCGGCCCACAGGCCATATTTTGCCCACCCCCGTTATAGCCCAACTGGCTGTGAGGAGGTACTGAAAGGAGAAGCCTACTCCACTGCTGCTGCCATTGCGCCCAGCTGAGACAGGCACAGGGGGAGTGCCAGCTCTTGCTCTGCTCCAGCAAAGGACTGCAGAGAACAGGGTGCTAGTCTCAGCAGGGGAGAGTGGTAGCAGCATGCAGGTTATTCCTTCCAGTGCCTCCTCCCAGCCAGCAGGGTGGTGGGGAAGGGGTGGGGGGCACGTAGGAAGCAGGTTCTGGAAGGAAGAACTTGTATGCTGCTGCCACTGTCTATGGCTGAGCCTGGCTTGCTCCACGGTTGCTTCGCACAAGCCTTGATTAGAGCAGGGCAGGAACAGCTCTGGGGTTCTCCCCATACCAGAGGCAGCGGGAACAGCAGTGGTGGGCACCTGCTCCCTGCTTAGTTTACTGTTGTTCCCCACAAGCCTGGAACCTCCAACTACGCCTTGCCCCAATCCTCCTGTGGTCTTAAGGGTTTGCATTGTACCCCCTCTTGAATAAGTCTGGATCTCTCCATGATAATATCCGATATATTTCACAGGACAATGAGACCCTATCCCATGGGAAAAAATCCTTAAGATATCCCACCACCACTGTTCTTCAGATGGCCCAGTTCTATGGCCAATACTGCCTGGACAGCCTGTCTCAGAATTTTTTGCCCTATATGCACCAGGGAAGCAAGAAGCTCATCAGCTTCAGCATGTTATCTTCTCATCAACCTAGCCTAAGCTGCTGTCCCAGGCTCCAGGAAGTCTTAGTCACTCAACCTGAACTTCTGGCTTCAAGGTCTTCTGCTGGCTGGTTCTACAGAAGAGCAAAGGAAGCATGCACAGTAACCCAATTGTTTCTCCCTTATGAAAGAAGGTGGAGAGCAAGAAGCATCTTCAGACCAGCTCTAACAGAGTGAGGAAACAAGAAAACACGATTTTTGAATTCTGAAGTGAATTTTGTAGGGGGAAAAAAGAAGGTTTGGCCAAATGGCAAACTCCACAATTAAAGAATCACGGACTATCTGGTACTCAAATATGAACCGTCTCATTCATTCCAGTCCCTTTGCCACTGGCTCAGGCTCCTTGCAGATGGACAGCAGTTGTACTCAGGTCACCATATGATTATAAAAACAACCTAGAAAAGGTTGGGTTTGGTTTTTTTGTTTGTTTGGTTTTTTGTTTGTTTTTTTTTGGGGGGGGGGGGTTAGACTGCAAGCTGAAATTCTGGAAAATAATTTTGAAACAAGGAAAAGTCTACTGCAAATGCATGGAATCACAGAAACACAGGGCCCCATGAGGAGTTTGCACAGCTATGCCCTTTAATTCTACAATTTGGTAAACTGTGAAATAAGGTTGCCTTGATGCATCCCCTTCCCCCTTCCTCCCCCCTGGTCCTAGGCCAGAGTTAACTTTCTGATAAACTGAGGCGGGGGAAATGTGTTTCCATTTATGGAAGACTGATTTTCTGCAGTGCCAAAGCTGAAGACAAGAACTGCATACATATAGAGGAGGCATATATACACTTCTAAATACAATGAACCTACTTCCCCCTTCCCTGCTGCATACTGCTCCATAATCAAGAATAACACCACTGAATTCATGAAGTTATACTGATGTAAGATTAGATTTGCCTCTGAAGTGCGATTGCAGATTATCAGCACAGCCACCTCAGAGTTCTTGGAATACCTGCACATGAACTGGCATCAGAAGTGAGCTGGCAGCACGCTCTGCTTCTCACAGTACCTCACAGCTTAATCAGCAAATGATCAGTAGGAACATAGGTAGTAATACCAGTAAATATTCACACAAGAAGTGCCATTGATTTAAATCAGATTAATTGGCTGGCAAAAGGCCTGTTGTACAATTAAGATTTTACAGGTTCAGGTCCTAAAAAAAAGCTTTAAGTTAGATAGTCTCCTGACCTTAGGCTGTCATATCATAATGTTATTAGCAACTCACTAAGACAATGATTTCTTTTACAAATAGAAGCCACTACATATACTCACCAGTCTCCTGGTAATCAATCAACAATTGTGAGAAAGAAAACTATCTAAGCACCAGTTAATCAATATTATCCTTGTTTAGCTTACTCGTTTCTGCCAAATTCAAATTTTACGTACTTTCCTTCAATCTCTAAATAGTCCCATATAAGTTTTAGATCTGCATATTCCTTGAGAATAATTCCCTCAGAAACAAAGGAGGATTCCATCAGCTAAGATTTAGGAGGAGAGTCCAGCTTTACCTGGCTGGTAGGTTTTCAGAGGTTTCTGTGTCAGACTGTTGATGATGTTGGTCACCACAACACTGGCATGGAGCCCTGCATGGTAGGCCATCTTTGGCTCCTTCACATCAGCACAGTCACCAATCGCATAGATGCTATCATAGCCTTCCACCTGAAGGTGCTTGTTAACTTTTAAAGCACCGTTACTTGCCATCTTGTCCTCTGTTTTAATCAACCCAAAAACAGAAAGCCAACAAACTGTGCGTTAGTTGAATTAGCGATTAACTGAATACTGCATGACAATGACAAAAGACACTCAGGAAATTCCCCAGATGCTGGTAAATCAGTTAACAGAAATTACATTGTGCACACCAGGGAAAGGTGTGGAGAGAGGAGGAAAGCAAAGCTTGATTAAACAGATTTACTCCTGCAAGACGGGCAAAAGGCAGTACTTCCGGTCCACTTCCAGGTCTGCCAGGGAACGTGCTGGGCCCCCCTCCACGAGCCACCAGCTCAGCGACTGGTGCCTCCTGGGTCGGTGGGTTCCCAGGGTCCCCCTATGGCCAACTGCCAAGCTGGGGGGGCAGGGGGGCAGCATGCCCCCAGCGGATCCAGAAGTAAACCGGAAGTACTTCTGGGTTCACTGCAGAGCATGTGGAGGACCCCTCTGCACTCCTGTGGGACGCTCCATGTGCCCCAGCATCGCAGCGTTCACAAGCCGCATTGGTACCTCGAGTTACATAGAAAAAAACATTTAAAGCTGTGTCCGCATCCGAATTGCTAATTCTCCAAATCAGCTTTGGATTTGGCTGAATCAAAACGGGGTGATCCGAATCAACAAATCGAACCACTGTCCCCAATTTGGGCCGAATCTAAAATTGAATAGAGCCTATTTCGCACACCCGTAGTGGGCAAGCCAGGATCATGAGGTGGTGACTGCACAGGGCCAGGGCTGTGATCTGCTCCCCTCTACCCGCACATCCAATGCCATTGATGAGAAGTGCAGGAGGTGGATCACAACTCTGCCCCAGGCCCTGGCCCTGCGCTATCACCACCCTGCTATCCTAGCCCTGGTCCCTGAATACCTATTCCACCCCTGGACGGTGCTTCCTGTCTGCCTACAGCTTCATCCCATCTGCTTGGTTGAGTGCACCCTGCCCTGTGGGAGTCCTGGCCCAGACTCCATAGAGACCCCGGCTGCCCTCCTGCCGGCTTTGCCTGGCGCCCCGGTAGTGGGTGTGGGGCAGACTGGCAACAGCAGCCAGGCAGACTGAGCTGCCACTGTGGGGGCTGCCATGTTGCCCCCACCCTGCAGTGCAGCCAGGGGCAGAAGGGCTGGCCTCACGTGCCACAACCCAGAGTTGCCCCCATGCTTGAGCTAGGCAGGGCTGAGGGACCCACTGCAGGCTGGACAGAATCCCTTGGTGGGCTGGATCCTGCCTGCAGGCCATATTTTGCCCACCCTGGGTCAAAAGCTCTATTACTAATACATGTGTAGTTCAAACAAGTCTATATGCCAAAGACTTCTGAAGGGTATTGAGCTTTATGCACTTATTTGCTACAGAATCATATGTCTAATGATTGCCTTGGGTGACAGGTGTAATTAATTTGATAGAATGAGTGCAGTCATTAGATAATATTTGTCCTCAGCCTGCCAACCACACGGTTTAGCATATCTGACATTCTCTATAGTTAACCACTCCAGAATTGAAACAGCAACTGTGGTGGGTAGGGATGGTAAGAACTGGAGTGAATCCTGGACTTACAGAATCATAGAAAATGAGGGTTGGAAGGGACCTCAGGAGGTCATCTAGTCCAACCCCCTGCTCAAAGCAGGACCAGCACCAACTAGATCACCCCAACCAAGGCTTTGTCTAGGCAGGTCTTAAAAACCTGCAAGGACGGAGAGTCCACAACCTCTCTGGGTAGCCTGCTCCAATGCTTTACTACCCTCCTCATGAGAAAGTTTTTCCTAATATCTAACCTAAACTTCCTTTGCTGTAACTTGAGACCATTGCTCCTTGTTCTGTCATTTATCATCACTGATAACAGTCTAGCTCCATCCTCTTTGGAATCCCCCCTACAGGTAGTTGAAGACCACTATTAAATCCCTTTTCAGTCTTCTTTTCTCCATACTAAATAAGCCCTCAGCCTCTCCTCAGACGTCATGTGCCTGAGCGCTCTACCCATTTTCATTACCCTCATCTGGACTCTTTCCAATCTGTCTACATCCTTTCTGTAGTGGGGGGCCCAAAACTGGACAGAGTACTCCAGATTGCTTTACTAAGGTCGATAGAAATTTTGTCGTGGTCTTCAGTGGGGCTAGGATTTTACCCCAGAACTACAATGTTAGAGTGCATTGGGAGTTTAGCTAATAGCAGGAAAAGGTAAAGAGAAAAATGTAAACAAGTGGGAAAGGGCATAAATATATGCCCTCTACCACAAACTCCCCCCAAGCAAGGTGTAAAAATTAAAGTGTAAACTTTGAACAGAGATTAGACAAGCACCATTAACAATACCAAATTAATTGCCAACAGTTGGGAAAATATCCTTAACATAGCATTGCATGCCAATCCACTACCAAGTCAGATTTGAAGCATTTTATTACAAGGATTGAAGAAAGCGGTCTGTTACACCCTATATAGTAGTTTTCACTTACTGAATGCAGTGCTATATGCTGATGAATTGATCTTTATCCCAGTGCAGAGAATCACCAGGTCAGCAGCAATCTCTGTGCCCTTATCCGTCTTTACTACCATATCTTCCTGGAACTGATTTAATGTCAGCATCTGCAGGTTGCTGACACTTTCACCTGTTGTAAAAAGCAGAATGGAGGTCTTTGTGATCATCATTAGTAGATTAAAGCACTACCCTCTAGGCAGCATAGGTACCAAAGCCTAACATGTCATTCCCATTTATTTTAAAAATGGAATTAAATGCTCTTATAAGGAACATTTAGAATACTGATAAAGACAAGAAATCTATTTCACACAGAAAATATTAATATATCCCCTAAACCAGTGATTCCAGCCACTTTAGACTTGAGTCACCCCGGATAGATTTGAAGCACTCCTGTCTTCACTCGTGTTACTCCTTGGAAAATGCCAGCTCTTAGTTTTTACTCTCTGACTATAGAAAAATAATAGAGCAGTTTTTCTGTTGCAAAGACCTTGGAAAGACCACAATTATGGATTTCTGTTTAAAATCTCTGTGCATCTCATGAAACATATTTGCAAACCTAACAGTGCTAACATTGTGTGGCACTCTGTGGCACCCATGAAAGGATCTCAAGGCACCCCAGGGTGCCATTGCACCCTGGCTGAGAATTGCTGCCCTTAACTGGGTGTGTAGGAGGGCTATTAGGAAGGCCAAGGCAGAGATGGAACTCAGGCTAATGTCCAGGATTAAGGACAACAAAAAGTCCTTTTTCAAGTACATTGCGAGCAAGAAGAGGGCACGAGGCAATGTAGGGCCCCTGCAAGACACAAACAGTAATCTGGTGGCCACGCCAGACAAGAAAGCTGATATTTTTAACAGTTTCTTTGCCTCTGTTTTCCTGAACAGGGACCAGGATATCCCACCTACCAGAGGTAGGGACAATCTTGGGGATAGCTCTATCAAGCCTTCAGTCAGTGCACATGTAGTTAGGGATCTTCTGGAAGGGCTAGACATTTTTAAATCTGCAGGTCCAGATGCCCTCCACCCAAGAGTGTTGAGGGAGCTGGCAGGGGTCATCACAGAGCCCTTGGCCAAGCTGTATGAGCATTCGTGGTCATCTGGCCAGGTGCCGGGGGATTGGAAACTGGCTAATGTGGTCCCTATTTTTAAGAAGGGGAGGAAGGAGG